GTAGAAAAACATGTTTGGTACAGAGCCCCAAAAGTTTCAACAACTCTTTCAATGAAAATTCAATTTGTAATGCAAAAATGGTTCCCACACTAATTGCAGATAAAATAATGGAAATGCTTTCACATATCATTCTAGTAAAATGCTGCATCCAGCAGGACAGCCCATCAGCACAGGTAAGTGAAGAACCATTGTCCCTAACTCCCTGCGTCAACTACTGGCAACTTCACATCCGGTTAGGCTCACTTCAATCCAGTTCTCTCCTTGATTCTGTCTGGAGCTCAGTTCCTATCCTACACTTCACTCAACTCCTGTTACTGTTCAGAACCAGACACATTGAAAAAGAGAACGAAAGGGAATTGAGGGAATGTGCTAGAACCATCAATAGAACCTCTTGCTCAAACAGCAATGTTATAGCACAGTACTGTACAATCTCCATCTCAACCAATGCAGCAAACACACGATGGTTGTTACGCTCCTGGCAGGGAGACGGAGTGCTCACACAGGAAGATTTCCTCCAGCTTTCAACCAGTGGATCACAGACCTCACCAACTAACCCTGAGGAAATGTTATTCTACACATTATACTCTCAACTTTTTGTAGCACCTGGCAACTAGTTCTGGATTTCACTTGTACAGATAGAACATGCCTGCCCCTTTCCTTACCTGAGTCTGAGTTTATAAAGCTGGTAAATCTGTCATTTACTATTGAGCCTAAGTTTTGATATGTCTCATTGTGAATGTCTAATGGTGGAATTGGTTACTTACAGGGTGGGTTGTTAAAAAATATCCAACTGTATTTTGTATTACCTAAAAGGCTAACATAAAAATACATAATTCATTTCCTAACCTTTTTATTCACACTGATGGGGTGTGCTGTCAGAGTAAGTTCAGTTTTAAATACCAAAACTCCAGCAACAGAAGGAAGCAGACACACTGTCACCATAAAAAGGGCTGTTTATTGGTTTAATGTACAGACATGTGGCGTGCTCTAGCGATAGCGGTGCAGCTGCAGGGTGTTGCGCCTCTTCCAGGCTGCACGGCGGGAGCCTCCGATGGTCAGGTGGAACTTGTGGCCCTTGCCCAGGCCGCGACTCTTCTTTCCTGCAGATGTCAGGCCACGCATCTCTCTGTGCTTGTGCACAGCCTTTGTGATCCATTGGGTGTCTGGGTTGCGTCTGACGGCCTTGTGGAAGGGGTCGATCAGAATCACCTCGAAGAACTTGTAGGTGGAGTCCTCGCCCACCCAGTAGGAGTTCAGCACTCTGAGGGCTCCGCAGTGACGGCCAGCACGCTCCTGGGAAGTTCAGATATAGAGGGAGTGAGTGGAATTACTAAGCAAAGCAACTCACAATCTAAAAAGGCAATATGTTCTTAAAGATTCAAAAGTGCTCTGGCGGCTCCCACTGGCAGCAGGAAACGGAATCTAAACACCCAGAAATCCTATGGAGGAGGAGCCAGTAACTGGAGACATCTGAACCATAACTACAACTCTATATATTCAGTCAGATACTGTACGTCAGTCTTCACTAGGTCAGGTTATACACCGAATGTGTTCAAACCCCCTCAATTGTTCCATCCTCGTACTGCAGGTCTGCGGCTGACATCAGATCAGTCCTAAACCTCATCAACAACCGTACAGTCCACTAAAGGCCAGTCTCAAACACTGACTGGTTTTCTTGTGCGGTCTGAAGGGAGGTGCAGGGAGATGTGACAGAAGCACTGTCAGTGTATAGACTTAAATCCTACGAGATAACATCCACCAATTAAAGCTTTCATAAACTATGTGGATGAGGGACAGTACACCGTTCCACTGTGTGTATTTTGACTTCCAGCAGGAAACCAGTCTAACATTGACAATAGGTCAGGGTTCCCAGTGAGATTCTTTGTGCAAGCTTTTGAGAATATTTGATATACATTTTATTTGTCATGTTTTACTTCCAATTTATTTCTTATTCATTCCATTGTTTTACACTGCAGTGCTTATGATCCTCCCATCATTTTATCTGTCTTGCTTGGTTTTTATGTTTTTGTAGAGCACTTTGTAACATTAAGTGCTATATAAAAAAAGATTATTCCCATCAGTAAGCCAGCATGCACACCACAATGCAACATAGACATTAATATAGTTATACCTGTGACAGCAAGCCAAGCAAACGCTTCTAGATTATTTTGATTGTTTAGTCATTTTGTTAAGAAAAGCTGATTTCAGCTTCTCCAGTGTGAATGCTGTCTGCTTTCTGTAGTCCTCTATGACAGTAAACCTGATGTCTTTGGGTTGTGGACAAAAGATATTTGACAACGTCACCTTGAACTCTGGGGAACAATGACCAACATTTTTCAATATTTTCTGAGATGACAGATTAACTGTTCGTTGCAGCCGTACTTCATTAGGCACACTGTGCTGGAGATGCTTTAGATATTAACACCAGTCAGTCGGAGAACAACAGATATTTAAGGGTGTAAATAATTGCTTTCATTACTGATCTGTCAACTATTTTCAACTGTGTTTATAAAATGTTAATTATCTCCCAGACCTTACAGTGACCCAAAGATCTTCAATTAGGAAAAGTTAGGAAACCCCTCACAAGGGGAACATTAAACTGATTTTTCACTTTTGTGGAAAAAACATAGAAAATAAAGACAGGACTGATACATTTATCAAACATAAATAACTAGACTGAGTACGTTTAGCCTTCAGTAAGTTAAAGTTAGTTTTGGCAAACCAATAATCTGAAGAGCGACTAACAACTCTGTTTTATCTACAAATAGATACAATCTATACAATCTGTTGTAATTCACATCAATGGAAAACGACTGTTGTCCTAAACTATTGTGGAAATGGTTATAGCCAATGAGCTACCATGTGCAATTTTAAAAGAGAGGCTACAGCGTTCCCAAATCATTTTCCAGGACTTTCCCAGTAGTTCTGAATCAATCACAATGGTGTTCAGCATGTATGTGACAGGAGCTGTGGCCTGGCTGAGGGGCTCAAACACAATGAAACATTTCCACGAAAACTAGTCTCTAAATTTCCAGGTTTTCCAGGTCACAAGAAAACCCTGATGCTAACATTTGCATTGCTAATTTCCTGGTCATCCTGTTAACGTTTGCAATCAGAATGAGTAACGTGTGTCCGTGCATCTGAAACATCGTCAGAGCAGCAACACCATAACTTGTTTCCTATATGTAGTCAAGATGAACGTACCTCAGCAGTTGACTGCAAACTGCGGGCAAACTTGATCTGGTTGACGCCATGGTGCACTGGCTTGCCGTAGGTGGCACCCTTGGGTACGGGGCGTTTACGGCCTCCACGGCGCACACGGACACGATAGATTACGTAACCTGTTGGAATCAAACAACAACAACACGATTAGCCGGGCAGGGAGAGATGCTGACAGATGTGCAGGTGTAACTCCGGGCTCTGCACTCACCCTGCTTGGCCTTGTAGCCCAGCCTACGGGCCTTGTCAGGTCTGGTGGGCCGAGGAGCGCGGTGGAGGTTGGACAGCTGACGGTACTGCCAGCAGCGGACACGGAGCAGGAAGCGCATCACGTCGGACTGCTTCTTGCGCCATAACTCCTGCATATACCTATATGCTCCCATGTTGACTTATCTGAAACAAACAAACAAACAAGTCTTGTAAGTTAAACAACTTTAATGTGAATTCATAACTTCTTTATGTAAAAACTTTACAGGATTCATATTGGACAACATGCAGCCAGCGTCTGCAGTTCAATGGAAAATAACGACTCGAGCGACATTTACAGGAATCAGAAGTTTCAGTCATGTGCCATCTGCAAGCTCAAAGACACAGCCAATCGTTCTCATGAACTGCTGCCTGGCTGAGGACAGGGTCGTCTTTAGAAGGAGCCTGTAACTCAGCTCATAATGGCACACAACTCCAGACCACAGACTCTGTACAGTCAGTGAGGCCATTCTGGAAGAGTCTTCTTAGGAAACCACGATTTCCCATTTTCTCAGCATTCTGTGAACTCGCCATAATACACATGTAACGCGTGGTATGGCGGCCCGAGTGTTTTCCGTGAATGAATGCCGTCAGAATATACACAAATATAAGTACACAAGCCCATGCTTCCTGAGCAGCTACTAAAACTACAGCTAGCATGTTAGCATTAGCAGCGTAGCTCATCAGCCCCTGCTCCAGCGGAATGTTGCTAACATTACGAGAGAAGTGACAAACTTCATGTGCCGGTTTCAACTGGACTAAAACGCGAAAACTCTGGTAATTTCACACAAACCACAAGACAGCATGGTAACACATTAGCTTGCTACAGCGGCCAGCACTATCAATGGCTACCGGGTCGACTGCATCACAGCGCTGTTAAAATAAGCCTATTATCAGTTTCCTCAACAATGTTAGTCAAAAAATAATCAAGGCGTATAGAACGTTAGTAAGTTGTTAAACAATGCCCCGGGTCAAACAGACCGATGAAACGACATAAATAATGATTTTAATGGATTGCGTTTTGTACAAAAGCATAGAAATACTCGCTTACATGATGGCGTACCAGCCGGAAAGAGAGAGAACACGTACCCAGCATGCCTTATGAAAACGCCGGTGACGTGTTTCCTCTGTAATGCTCATGGGAAATGTAGTTTTTTTTAAAATACACTTTTGTGGTCATTTCGACAATCAAACTCGCGCTCTCTTTCTTAATTTAAATTCATTTTTAATTAAAAAGTTATATGATAATCACATAGTAGACTAAAACTAAATGTAATCGTAATTTGACTACAGACTTCACTGCATGAATGTAACGTTATGTAGACTCTATGGAGTGTAGTTGTACAACTACTAACTACAATATCCACAACAATAATACAACGTATAAACATAATTCACAACATGCACGGTGAATGTAAATGTTATTATATTATATCATTACAGTCTCATAAGATTATTTTAAACGTCTCCAGTTATTATTATTATTATTATTATTATTATTATTATTATGTTTCTGCTGGTGTTTGTGAATTCAGTCGCGCATGCGCAGTGTCAGAAGAAGTCTTGCGCTCCCAGCAGAGCAGGATGGCCGCTCTCGTAGGGATGCTCCATTTAAAGACTCCATAGACAGCGAGCCCTCCACCTCATTCAAGTAAGCAGCTTTAACGGAATCAACCGGTAACGTTAACGAACAAACAGTGGTTCGCAGCTACGTTGTCACATTTTAAATGACGCACACTCAGTTGCTACGGCTAGCCTGTTAGCTAGCTAGGCTAAACAACACAACGCCGTGACAGCGAGCCCACGCTCAGGACACATTCAGAGCGGGTAGTGGCTCTGGTCCGTGTTATTATGGGATGTCTAATGTTTTGTGTTCATACATTGTAGGGTCGAAATGGGAAAAGGCTGTAAGGTGGTGGTGTGTGGTCAGGCAGCAGTTGGAAAAACTGCCATACTGGAACAGCTGCTGTACGGAAACCACACTGTAGGTAAGGAACATCCGGTATTACTGAGCATGGTTCCCTGTAGGACAGACCTTTTTTACAGCAGCCATTTTAACATTAAATAGGGTAAACACAAGTGTTACCAATGACTAACTAAGGCTCTGTTCCAGTTAGCAGACCCCTGACTCTGTCTGGCCTTAATGGAACAGAGCCCTAATTAGTATTATTGGTAAGGGTTTACCCTACTATTTCATGTCAGAATGGCTGCTGTGAAAAAGGTCTTGTTGTTGACCTATTTCCCAGGCTCCGAGTCCAACGAGACCCAGGAGGATGTGTACGTGGCCTCAGTGGAAACTGACCGCGGCGTGAAGGAACAGCTGCGGCTCTATGACACCAAAGGCCTCCACGACGGACAAGACCTCCCCAAACACTACTACTCAGTGGCAGACGGCTTCGTGCTCGTCTACAGCGTGGACAGCTTGGAGTCCTTCAAGAAGGTGGACATTCTGAAGAAGGAAATAGACAAGTCCAGAGATAAGAAAGAGGTGTGGCCAGGTCAAAGTATGTTTTAAACCACCATTCATAATAAGTGCTGTTCTCTGTTCGCCTTTATATTGGCAACCATCCACACTGCGCACACACAGCATGTATGATGTTTAAAATATCCAGTTTAACTGACAGTTTCTGTGTTTTCAGGTGGTTTCTGTGTTCTATTTATAGCGCACATTGTTATACCACCAGATTACATCACAAAGTGTGGTAGTGAAAGGTCTGAACAAACAGAATCTGACTGTAAAGGGGAATTGAAACAGTAAAGATATGAGAGGGCTAAAGTTCCCAGTTTGAGAAAATATAATTGCTTTTATTTAAATAGGTCTGTGCATGTAGGCCAACACAATAGAGGATGTGCATGCAGCAGAGAAGCAGAACACTTCTCAGCACAATGGCTTAATATCCATATATACATATATATGTATGTATATATGTATATATGGACATTTATTGTTTAGTATTTAGAAGTAAAGTTGATGGGAGCCAGTAAAGTTACTCTTTAGAGGTACATATGTAACATTAGCGTGCATGAAAATCCTGCTTTTGCCATCGAAATATTTTCATTGTGCACAACTCATACCATTAGATGCCTGCAGTTTATACAGGAAACTGCTAATACAGGATTTAATAGGTATTATTTATCAGCCACACAGGATCATGAAAAGATGTGTCTCTGCTCTCATTATATGATCAATCAGGTGAAGATGTTCAAATGCAATTTGTGCTTTTTTTTTTTACTGTCTACAAAGTATTTAAACAAAATCTACATGAAAGTTAAAGACATTTGTGTTCCCATTTTGAGGCTTATACTGAATTCAGTTCTACAGACAATTGGCCCAACATTTTAACATCTGTTTGTGCCTTGAATATTTCCTGAGGAGTTGGAAAAACAGCCATTTTCGGAGCTTGATAACTGAGTACATCATTTTTTTGTTTTGTTCTTGGAGGAGTATGTTATCCCCCAACATTTATGTGGAAATACTATCTTAAATCTTTAAAAACTGAATTGGGGTTGCTTCCGGTGTGTCTGTTGTGTCCTCAGGTGACAGTCATAGTGCTGGGGAACAAGACAGACCTGCGGGAGCGTCGCCAGGTGGACCAGGAGGTGGCGCAGCAGTGGGCGCGAGGCGAGAAGGTGAAGCTGTGGGAGGTGAGCGTCGCCGAACGCAACTCCCTCATCGAACCCTTCACCCAGCTGACCAGCCGCCTCACGCAGCCACAGAGCAAGTCTGCCTTCCCTCTGCCGGGGCGCAAAAGCAAAGGCACCCCGTCCAACGACATGTGACTCTCTGAAGACCCCCTCACTCCTCTCCGCTCCTGTTAGCAGGCTGCATTCACCTCATATGGGAACACCCAGCGGGACCACGCGGACAGGCCTTTAGCAACATGACTTTGGTGGCTTGTGTGTAAATTAGACCTTTTTACATACAGTTCTGTACAGTGGTTACATTGCTTAAGGTAGTTCAACTTCATTATTTTGGGAAATATTTAGTTTTCTGTCTCTTTCTGTGAGTGAGATGAGGAGACTGATGTTAATCTGGTATGCTAAGAATAGAGCTGGGTCAGAATGTGGTTAGCATAGCATAAATACTGGACGCTTCCCAGAGCCTTGTTGTCACAGTGAGGTTGCCAGATTTGGTTTACAGCCACCACAACAGAAAACCAGTACTATAGCTCCACTGGAGTGCTGGCTGATGGGTAAACTGTTTGTCATTTTCACATGTCTGTTTTTGTTCAGGTTAAACAAATCAGATGTGTGTTAATCAGCCAGCTTTAAAGGTGTTGTCATTCAAGTGTTTTTTTGAAGTTTTGACCGAGCCAGGCTGGTGGTCTCTTGTCTCCAGTCTTTATGCTAAGCTAGGCTAACCACATCCTGACTCCAGCTCTGTGCTCAACACACGGACATGTTTGATATTCTCATCTCACCAACAGCAAACCAAATCCACATCTGTAACATCTCAAGCCTTTTTTCTTCGTAAAACCATCTCAGCATGGGCAAGCACTTTAGTACCAAAGAGTTCAGACGACCCAAACACACATCTCGTGGATTTACACTTCTGAATTGCGATTGTGAAATAACGTGTTATGTTTACTGTCCTTTTCAACTGAAACGTATATATCATTCCAAGTTAAACCATACATTCAATTTTTTTTAACTATCTTACTACTCACATTCCCATATAAAGAGTTATTGGTTGCTGTAATCATTCCTCCTCTGTCCCAAGAGGGCCCAGCCTACAGCTAAAGTCAGACTATTGAAGGACTGGATTTTGACCCCCATTTCTTCCATTGGATTTCCACAAGGGATCTCTTCATGACCAGTATGTAACTCTTTCAGCAAACATACAGGCTCGTGGAACAGTTCTGTAAGCTCTGTAGGACAGTGTTTTCAAACAGGAATCTTCTACCTATGTTATTTCCCATCTGATGTGAATGCAGCATGAATCCCTGTCCTCTGGCGGGACTCAGCTAGCCTTCGTCCAGTCCATCTCGTATATTAAATATGGCCTGGCAGCAATAATAATAATATTCATGGTACTGCCTTTACCCCTGGTGTAAGATTCCATAATGTCTGTCTGCCGTTAGTTGCACTCGTGTCGTCCAGCCTGTATAATCAGATAGGGCTACTAGTTAAAACTGTGTAAGGCTTTCTAACAGTAGAAATGTCCGTGTTGAGAGGAAATATTTATTTTTTAACTAATTTATTTTTGTCACTTTAATGAGCCACATTCCTTGACTTTTGAAAATGGTAAAACAATGTGAAGGATGATTGCGCTGTTTTCTGTCCTTAATGTTTCAAAGTAATAACAGTTAATGTGCTGCTAGTAGAACGGAGTTAGTGAGACTCAACACTTGCACTCTGTATTCATGCTAACCCTAAATTATTCTCTGCTCTGTAACTCTGCACTGAATAAAATGTAGCCTCTTCATATTTAGTCCTCTGAAAGGTTCTTTTGGTGGCGTTTCCTGAAGATCACGTTTGATACAAATGACCAAACACAGTCAGATGCTTCAGTTGGTCATGTTTAATTCTTTAAGGGAGAAACAGAACAGCTTTTTATCATTACAGAACACAAATCACAACCAATATCCATCCATATCTAAACATGTATACATGTGTAAAACACCTTTTCAAAGACCAGGAGTTTGGAGGGAGGGAGCAAAACACCAACTGGAACTTAATACATGTGAGAATTTACACTGACATAATTGACTGGGAATCATGCTGTGACACATTTCATCTAGCAGTTTAGTATTAATGTCCATCTTCAAGCACGAGCTAAAAAGTCAAAGAGAAAACACTAAATGCGTTATTGCCAGATCTGATTATAGTTGGGCCGCAGATAACTTAAAAAATACAATAAACAACAAAATGTCAGGAGTTAAGACTTCAATTCCCGAGATAAAAATCCACCCGCCCCTCTACCGCCCCGCCTCCTTCCTCCGCTGGGAGCCACGCCCCCAACAGAGTCGACCCCCACCCCCCCCACCCCAACATCCCCGAGTCGTCCAATCGGCAGCAGCTCCTCTGGTGATTATGTGGCGTAGCGCTTGGTCCACTGTTTGGCTATCCTGTCGTGTTCAGGTCTGTTTGTTGTGTACTGTGTGGCGATGCTTCCAACCAGAGGGTCGGCTGTAACACAGGAACAAAACATCTGCATTTCAATTTGTTCTTTGCACTTTCACACCTGTTCCTCAATTACTGCAGTTTTATCTAAATTCATTTTAATTTGAATTCAGGTTACTTAAAGCTCCTACAAGGAACTTTCATTTTCCAAAACTGACCGTTGTCTTGGTTTGTAGATGCATTTTTGATGAGCAGTAGCAGCCAGTGTCAAGCTAACTGACAAACACTGTGCACTTCCTGCAGCTAGCTTAAGTCAAGTGTGTGTTTCAGTGTTCACCAGTTAAAATGGTTCTAATGTGAAGCTGCTGCAGTAGGAAATGTTTTTTCCCATAGTATCTTAATACAGAATTTGCAGCTGCATGATGTGCGTGCAGAGACAGGACAATTTAATTCAATTTTATTTGTATAGAGCCAGATCATAACAGAAGTTATCTCATGACACTTTTTAAAATAGAGCAGGTCTAGACTGTACTTTTTCTAAAATTAAACCAGAACATCTGGATCACCCATGGTGCAATTCAAATACAATTATAAGGTAATTTATCAAGTTGTTGCAAAAGCAGTTCTTCTAATTTATTGATCTACTTGTATTATGATCCACAATAGCCAGCTCCAAGATACTGAAGGGATAGTAACCGCTGTATTAACGGCAACATCCCTGATCATTTATGTAATCATGGCCCAGCCCAACGCTACTGGGAATATTATGGTTTCATCCATCCAGTACCTACAATAATAACTGTATAATTACACTGCACTTGTGTTGAGGTTACAAAGTCATACTGTGTGAAATTAAAGAACCTTTTAGCCAAAAAAAGAGGATGACTTTAAAAAGAGCCACAATGCTGCAGTAAATCTTAGAAAAATAGATTTTCACTTAAGGCTTGAGGCAGAACACAAACACAGCACCACCTTCTGTCTTCAGTGAGGACTCTGGCTCTGTTATATATCCGTATAGTCTTACATTTCCCCTGACTGTGTCAGAGTCAAGAGGAGATTTAATGAACTGAATCTTAAAATCCTTTAAGTGGAGTCCTGGAATTCATGTAGGGCTACCTCAATGAGAGCTTTATGGTCTCTGCTCTAACATCAAGATCAAAGGGGAGTTACTGCTGCAGTTAATGAGACGAGCTCAAACAGACCCTGCTACCAACATTTATTCAGACCCATATTAGGCAATGTGTTATTACTCTTAGAAATAGTACCCTCTGTGCTTTTGAACCTAAAAAATACATTTTAAACATTAAAGAACGTGCTTAATATTGGCACAAAATATTGTTAGCAGATTTTGTGAGCCTAACAAAGCAAGTGTGTGTGTGTGTGTGTGTGTGTGTGTGTGTGCGTGCGTGCGTGCGCTGCAGCTCTCACCAGGGTTGCAGTCAGTGAGCAGGGAGCAGATGGACAGTAGGACCTTGGAGATGGTGAGGGCAGGACTCCAGTTGTCCTTCAGGATGTCCAGACAGATCACCCCCTGACTGTTGATGTTACAGTGGTAGATCCTCGTACGGAACGTCACCTGCACACGGACAGGACAGAAAACTCTGTATCCAACAGCTTTGTATACCAATTTTACATCATTTTTTTATCTGAATAATCAAACCAACTCAAACATCCAACCCTATGAGCAGAAATGGTATGCTTATTAAACATATTCCATCATAAACACACTGTAGAATGTGAAATGAAGAGTAGTGGCTAATGATTTAGAAAAGCTAGTCATACATTATGAGGTGTCTATTTAGAAACATGTGAGGTCAGAGAAAATTCTACATTTTTTGAATGCAGTTTGGTTGTGACCGCTGCTCATTAAAAAGGAGAGGATTACAAGCATCAGGACTGAGTGAGCACATATATTAGAGCGGCCGGGGGAAATAAGATTACAAGTATGAGCTTCTGAGTTCATCTAGCTGTATCCCAAAGTACAAGGGCGCCCACTAGTGGAAAACATGAAAATGACATGTCTTTGCAATAGAGCCATCTGTGGCATGATCAAACAGAAAAGGCTTTGCTGGACGCTAGCAGCCATGCACAGTTCACCTTGGGTGGTTTGAAAGGGTAGTCTGGTGTGAAGGCGATGTCCAGGAAAAACACTCCTCCCTCGTACACGGAGCCTGGAGGGCCCAGGATGGTCGACCTCCACTCATAGATGTTGTCTCCTTTAGGACCGGCACTGTCGGCACACAGGAAACATGGATTCTTGATTAATATCTGGATGCTTCAAAACCTCAAACTCTCACAGTAGAAAACATCTTTAGTCACCCGACTTTACCGCTTCATTTCAGTTGTACTGGATATGTGAGTTTAGCACTATGATTATACTTTATCAATAGAGTCTTCAGTGTTCGTCCAACAGAATCTCTGAGCTCTGTGTCAGTGCTGTTTGTAAGTTCAGTCTCAAGTCTTTGAGACACGAGCTACAAAGCAGCAGTCGCTCATTTTTTTTTATTTTGTAGAAATAACCTTTGTTTATACTCTTAATTCTTTTACAGTGTAATATAAAGCACTTTTCCACTTTTAACAGTTAGATGGCACTCTCCGGCTGTGTTTACAAGATGCATGAACCGTTACCCACAGGTGACAGGTATCTTTTCAGCTGTGAAGATCATTTATCATTTTATCACAAATTCCTCCCACAGCAGGCAGGGTAGAAAATAGAGGATATGCTGGATGTGAACAAACTATTGAGGTACTTGTTTCGTTGTTTGTTTTCAAGTCTCAGGTAAATCGAGTCTCACAGTGGACAAGTCCAAGTCGACTCCAGTCAAAGTCTCTGGTCTAAAGCTCTGTTGTGCGTTCCAGCTTCATCTATCTTCCATCTGGATAAATGCACCTCCCTCTGAGCCAGAAACCAGACCGGCCTTCACCCTAACGGAGCTTTAAATCGTCCACAGCCTGCATGATTGCTGCTCCCTCGTGGTCCACCTCCCAAAATATTAAGACACCCACATTTCACTTTCTTCTTCTGCCTCTACACAAGACTGAGATCTTCCAGTACGGCCCCCACTGGCTGCTAAAGGTCTGAAATCCTAGCACTGATCTACAGGTTCACCTCAAGATCATCAGTACCATGACACCATACAATGAAACCACCTACAGGCCATGAACAGGACATGCTGCAGAAAACATTTTAAAACAACTTTAAGAATAGGTTTCTGATATGATCTGCCAACTAAATGTCAATGTCCAAGAGCAGATGTGTCAATAGGGACTGATCTTTTTCTACAGGAAATAAGGGCTTTGTTTAGTATGTGTATGTATATAAGTAGTATATATATATATATATATATAAATAAATAAATAAATAAGAGGGGAGCAGGGTTGTGGAAGCTGGACTACATGTATACTTTTGCACTTTGGCTGTTTGAGCAGTTGATGTTTGTTTCATGTTTTTCTTTGATAAAACATCAAAACTGCTTTAAATGCTGCAGTAGGTCAATTTAAAAAAACAAAGATAGTTGATTGTTGAGTCTCATTACCAGGGCGTCACATGCACACACTTTAGGACCCTTTCTTTTCAACAAGTTGCTAACTTTTAGCTTCCCTGCACACAAAACATTAAAGCTTTCCCCTCTTGTGAGTGAACAGTGAGCGAATCCTTCATTCATCCATTCACCCTCAAGTACTTGAATGTGGCATGAAGGATGCACATATATTATACTTAGCCTTCTCCTTAAACCTGCAATAAATCCTTTTTGATCACTGCGGGGCAGCAGAAAAAAGACTAGGCATATCATCACCCTTTATTACGTATCTAATTAAGGCTTTTTGCACTTTGAAGAGTGATGGGAGAGGGGACACACCGCTAAGGGCTACATGTTGGACGCATGGGCACAGCAGGTACTGAGCAGGTAGTGTACACTGGGTTTTTAGAGCTTTTTCACTGGAAAGTGAGTGATGCCTTAAACATTGTCATTTCAGAATCAGAAATACTTTATTGATCCAGGGGGGAAATCTGTTATATTTAATACACTGTATACATCATAAACATATTGATTATAGTTGCTTTATTTTAATTTAAATGCTGTAAATGGTATGATTACACTGTATCTTCAATTATGTTATTCTTATTAAATTCTATAGTTACATGCAAATAAAATATAAATAAAATAATATAGCATAGATAAATACTAAATTAAAGTTGAGTCTTAAGAGTCAATTAAGTTTTCCGAGACCCCCCCCCGTTTTTTTACACACTTCCTCCACCTCAAGATCATGGTTTTACCTTACACCTTGACCTGAGCCCTCAAGTTTAACCTCTATATTCTGATGTCTATGCACTGAAGCTTATTCAGCTGTTAAAGTCACAAAACATCCACTAAATGACTGAATTGTCTATACAATTACCATCTTTCTAATGTTTTACAGTCAAGAAATCTATTCACTGTCACCTTATTGGTAGTTCATTAAAACAATAAGAGTGCAATCACCCGTGTGAGTCATTACGCCAACAGAGTGGGAAGTGATAAAAAGGAAAAGATCAACAGGACATTATTTGCCTGTGGAGATAAAGCTGAAGAGTGGCAGGGCTGACGACTGCAGCCGCTTCAGAAGAGCCTTGATTCAACAGCAGCATCGCAGTAAGTCAACAGCAGCTTCTGTTTTAATGCTGGGGATGTTTTCACATAATTGACTGCTTGATGAAGCGCTTTAAACTACACTTTTCAGTTTGCCATTTCATTTTTACACAAGTAGGGCTCTTAGAGCATGTTTATAGGATAAAAAATAAAAGGACTTGTTTCAGTGGAAAACTCCATGCAAAATACAGTGTGCAGCAATATACAGTATTTAGACATTTGGATATTTTAAATAAACAAACGCTGAATCATCCATTATTCAGATGTAGCAGTTCCGAGAATAATTCAAAACACAAATCCGATTTGAAGCACATAAGCAGTTACTCTGCACAGTGCTTGTGTAATAATAAGTAGCTCCTGTCTGTTCTGAGTAACAACAGGAGGGGTAAATGTCAGGCAAATAATCTCACTTTCTCAGGCTCCACTCTGCCCGCTCTTCATCACGACTGAGAGGGTAGCAGAGACGCATTCCACAAAAACATACACCTAGTAGCATAGTCAGGAATTCAAACCTCTATTATAGTCAGGTTGCTGACTGCTGGATAAAATGACCCATCACATTTCTTTTTTACAATCTTCTCTTAGCTAGAACAGACACCTAAATTATTGCTATGTCCTTAGCATGGCTGCTAAATGTAAAACATTTCCCGTTACTGCCATATGAAGTTCAGCAGTAAACCAGTGGCAAAGGGCCGAGAGATCAGAACGGTCCAGGTCTATAGAGCTAGCACTATAGCCCATACTCTCCTTCATGGCATCCTGCTAGAGCTGCACAGTACGAGCTGAAAGCAGGGCTGGATTAACCCACTAGTGGCCCCACAGACAATCTCAAACATGAGGATTTGTTCATTTTCCTTGTTTAGTGTTACAGTAAAATGAATATATTTGGGTTTTGTACAGTTGGTCAGACAAACGTAACTATTAATAGATGTCCTCCTGGCCTCTGGGAAGTTGTGATGGGCATTTTTCATCAGTTAGTCATATTTTGCAGACAAAACAATCAAAAAGGTAGTGGGTAGTTTAATCCATAATAAAATAACTGTTAGTCACATCCGTATGTGGAATTAGTTTGTGATCATTTGATTCAGTAATATACATCATGTCAGCTGAATAGTGAAACAACAAAAGGTTTAAAGCGAGATTTTAATTCAAGAGTAGCAAATAGTGTTGGTGTCATATTGTGTTTTAGGGGTGCATACACTAATACCAAACCCATCTGCAGTCAAACAAATGACCACAAACTATTTGCCATACAGTGGATGCCTTTGGGACCTGGGGCACTTTGCTTGATGGGTAATCCAGCCTGATGATCTTAACATGGTGCAAGGAGGCACCTGTGGGAGGTTTTTATTTGTGAGCAGCTACAGGAAGAGCCTGTATGCAAGTGCTTCAGTTAGCCAGGAAAGCTAAATTATTGTTCGACAAAAGCTGGTCTAAATACGTTTGTACATCAAGTGCTTCTTTGTTGGTGCATTAGAACAGGAAACTATAAAATCCATATTATTTGTGTTGTTATCTGGGGTTATAGTAAATTCAAAGAAAGACTACATACATTCATCGTACTATAGCATACACACAAGTTTGTTTACTTATGTCTTCGTTTGACTGCATATGTGTAGTATACACATATGGATGGATATGTGGTCATTCACCTTAAACTAAATCCAAAAATAAACCTGCCAGCATCAAAAGGTTGGGAATCTTTATAGCCAAGCAATGTCTACTTGTAACCCCTCGTCTGTTTTTTGTCCCATTTTAAATAACTACGTAAAAAATACATTTTTGTTCCATCTTTTCCTGCCATCTTGACCTTTGTTGCATCCCCTTCACAAACTCCCAGAACATTAATGTTGAAAATGAATGGATTTTTAGGTCATATAATACAAAACACTGAAAAGGTCAATCTTCTTAGGTAAGTGTTGGCATGAAGCCTGTGATATGCCATGGACATGTGAATGTTGCCCAAAAAAAAAAAAAAGAGCACAAAATAAGATCAAAATATTCAGATTTAATGGACTAGCCACAGTGTGCTATCCAGATGTGAAACATCCCCCTAGTATAAAAAAAAATACCACGTCCCTTAGAGGAATGCAGTTCATTTACACAGTGTGTGTTAGCGGCATTCCTGCAGGGGAGTCCTGACCTGCTAATATACTGGTCACACCACAAGACCTCAGTCAGGACCCGCTGCTGTGCCAAGAATAGATAATGTATCATTTCCCCCTGCATCAACCAGGCTGAGGTTTCTTTCGCCTGACAACAGAGGCGTCTCACATTCACAGACGAGCCACAGAGAGAGCCCGGGCTTCCTCCCCGCCTGTCTCCGACGCACACAAAGGCTACCCAGTGCTTTGTGTGAGGCGGTAATATGCCAGGCTATCACTGTTGTCATTCACTTCAATATCAGGGGGGCTTCTTCTGCGGACCTCTGTGTACACACACGCCGCAAGGAGAGTGCTGACATTTCAGCCGTTTCATTTTTTCTAAGCCTTTAACCTTTCAAACAGGCACACAGCGGTTCACCAAAAACGGACTCCTGCGGCTCAGCACAGGAGAACAGTAGATGAATGTGTTCAGTTAGCAGACAGAATTCATG